GTTATTGAGAAGTTCCCATCTTTATCTTGTGGCCTGTATTGGACAAGAATTAGTGCAATTGAGGCACATTCTATCGTAAACCAAAAGGTTACTGAATCCAATACTTTTGTACTTTGGCATGATCGATTGGGACATCCTGGATCAATTATGATGAGACGAATTATAGAAAACTCAAATGGGCATCCATTAAAGAATTTAAAGATTCTTTTAAATAATGAATTTTCTTGCACTTCTTATTATCAAGGAAAGTTAATTATTAGACCATCACCAACAAAGGTTGGAATTGAGTCCCCTGCGTTTTTGGAACGTATACAAGGGGACATTTGTGGACCTATTCACCCACCTAGTGGGTCGTTTAGATATTTTATGGTCTTAATAGATGCATCTTCTAGATGGTCTCATGTGTGCCTATTGTCATCACGCAACCTCGCATTTGCAAAATTAATAGCACAAGTAATTCGATTACGGGCGCAATTCCCCGATAATCCAATTAAGTCTATTAGACTTGATAATGCTGCTGAGTTTTCATCCCAAGCATTTAATGATTATTGCTTATCAATTGGGATAAAAGTGGAACATCCTGTAGCTCATGTTCACACTCAAAATGGTCTTGCAGAGTCTTTAATTAAACGTCTGCAATTGATAGCAAGACCGTTACTCATGAAAACGAGGCTGCCCACTTCTGTTTGGGGTCACGCCATTTTGCATGCAGCAATGCTAGTTCGTCTCAGACCGACAAATTATCATAAATATTCCCCGTTGCAATTAGTTTTGGGTCATGAACCTAATATATCCCATTTAAGAATCTTTGGATGCGCAGTATATGTGCCTGTAGCACCGCCACATCGCACCAAAATGGGTCCGCAAAGAAGGTTAGGAATATATGTTGGGTTTGAATCGCCCTCCATTATTCGCTACCTCGAACCATTGACGGGGGATTTGTTTACTGCACGATTTGCAGACTGTCGATTCGATGAGACACTTTTCCCAAAATTAGGGGGAGAAGTTGGTGAAACCAAACGGGAAATTTTGTGAAAAAATCCATCATTATCTCATCTTGATCCACGTGCCTCTATTTGTGAAAAAGAGGTGCAAAAGATTATTCATTTGCAGAAAATAGCAAATCAAATGCCAGATGCATTTACGGATATGAAAAGGATAACAAAATCACATATCCCTGCGGAGAATGTTCCAATCCGTATTGATGTTCCTATTGGACAATCTTCTAGTGTCATAGCTAATGAGTCAAAAGCACGCCTTAAACGTGGCAGACCATTAGGTTCCAAAGATCGAAATCCTAGAAAAAGGAAAATAAATGATCAAAATGACACTACGAAAGAATCTCATGAAGAAATCCACGATTTAATAAATTCTGAGATTCATGAGGAATCCACTGAGCCCCAGACTCTACCGTCTCAAGAAGCTTTTGGGATGAATTACAATGGAATAGAACCCTCTATTTATAGGGAGAGGTTGACTTAGCCACCAAGTAATAAACCCTAGAATCTCTCTAAATATAGACATTCACCATAAATAAAATTCTATTTATAACACTATTGATTTATTGTGCTTCAGATTGTGTACATATGTCGAGATTCGAGAGCATAGGGCTTTGTAGTCGTGGTGTAAAATCAGCTTGATTTAAAAGAAATTCTTGAAATATTATAATTTTTCTTTTTCTTGTAGTCATCATTAATCTTCTTAGTTTGGCTATCACTTTCAAGTACCAAAAGTTTACTTCTTAAATAGCCTCTGCACAGGTTTTGTGGTTGATTTCAGGTTTGGGTGATCAAAACAATGTTCTTGGTCGCATGCCTGGTAATTTTCCAGGTCCTGAGCCCCCATCAACTCCCGAGCATTTGCCTCTGGCTTGTTACGAACTGAGGGTACAATACCTGGAGTTGGAGCTGCATTGCCACTATCGCTTGATTCATCTCAAGGAGAACAGAAGTCTTCCATGCCAGTTTCAATGCCTATAGGAGCTCCCCCTCTTCCTCCTGGTCCACATCCATCTCTTCTTGCGGGTAATCAGCAGCAAGCATATCAACAAAACATGCAGCAAGCTCAGCACCAGCAGTCACTACCTCAACAAATGACTTCTCATCCTTTGCAACCGTCGAATTTGCCACAGCTACAGCCTCCACATATGCCTCTAATGCCACATCCTCATTTACCTCGGCCACCACACCAACTACAACAAGTAAATATGCCTGGCCTTCTGTCTTCAATGCCAGGTTCTGGATCCATCCAAGCAATGCCTATCCCTGGTCCAATGGTATGTATCATATTTCTATTTGCAGGTTGCATCTTCTTCCCCTTTTTTCCTGTAGATGTGCCATGCATATCTTGATTCATCACCTCCTTGGTGCATCTTTAAGTGTAATGCTCTTGCTAATCAAACGGAAATAAGTAAGCGTTTAATGTATTTTTCGTGTAGCATGCATTCTGATTTGTATCTCTGTGTTTATGTTTGCTTATATAGATAGATTCTGAATTCATCTTCATTCGAACCCCCCCCCCCCCCCCCCCCCCCCCCCTCCCTNGGCCCGGTGGCACCAAACTATCATTAATAATTGTGTGTTTGTTTTAGAATTGAAATGCCTCTTTTTAATAACTTAATTGTACAATATATACTTCTCTATAGATTTTCCAACTCAGCCTGGTGCACAAAGCATCCGGCATTCACGCAGGGTCGGGAAAGGCCCGCACCCCTAGGGGTGTGATGTAGACAACGTACCCTATACCCTAATGCAAGCATTAGTGGCTACTTCCACGGCTCGAACCCGTGACCAATAGGTCACACGGAAAATAAAGAGAAATCAATATTTTGTGTAGATTTTCCAGATTCATTTTGTGCAAAGTGCTTACAAAACTTTGATATTAAAGAATTAGTGTTATGAAACAGAGATTATCTTTTTGTAGGACTCCAACTTTATTTTACTGATATTCTAGGTTAAGGCCATAATAATTTCCGAGGCGTTAGTCATGTATTTGTATTGAGATGAGAGTTGTAGCCAAATGGTTACAATTTTTCTTTGCACCTGTTGTAGATATAAAATAAATTAGTAAAAGTGTCCCCTATCCGAGAGTTTAAAATTTTAAATTAGACAGTTCACGCAGTTCAATGTGGTATTGTAAAAGGCAGAGGGTCCTCAAGTCTTCCCGTCATCGATCTACAAAATATTTTCATGTGCTTGACAAGGGGAAAAATTCAGGGTTGCACGTGAGAGGGCAAGGTTTAATGACATAAGATACATCAATACATGCGTCATGTTTCTAACTGCTAATTAAAGCTTTTACACGAGACGGTTCTCACTTTTCAACTTGCATGGATCAAATTTCATTACTTCCTCCGGTCCAAAATAAGTGATTTTTTGGTCTTTTTTTGTGGTCCAAAATAAGTGGTTTTTCCAGATTTCAAGAATGAATTAATTATTTTTTTTCCTTCATTGTCCTTGGAGTAAATAGTGTTGGAATATGTGTTAGGAGTGTTTATGTGAGATAGTAAAGGTTAATATGGTCAATTCAATTGCTAATTAATGCTAAAAGGTGAATTTCTTAATCTGTGTGAAAACATCCAAAAAATTATTTATTTTGGACTGAAGGGAGTAGCATCTTCGTCTCTTCTTGAATAGAGCGGAATTGGTAGCAACTCCGACGACTTTGGAATTGTGGCATATATTTGATTGATTGATAGGAAGTGCATTTGCTTGAAGGAAATACATCCAGAGGATCAAGGGGTTATTTCAGCATCACTGCTTGGTTGTCTTCTTGTTTTCAGGGGATACAAGGTAACATGAATCAGATGGTTCCTCCAATGCCTCAAGGTCATTTTGTGGGCATGCCTTCTGGATCTGGACCACAGGGCAATGTTCCTCCAGGTGGAATGCCAAATGGACTGCCAAACATGCAAGGCCCTCAAAATCCAGGAGGTAATCAGATGTTTCCACCAGGACGAGGCTTCAACAGGCAACAAGCACGAATGCCTGTCACGACCCGGATTTCCCACCCTCATGAGTCGTGATGGCGCCTACTAATGTGAGCTAGGCAAGCCAATTATTGAACAATTTACCTTTTTACCCATTTTATATTCTTTAACCATTATAAAGTAATAACATGAAAACAGCGAAAAATTTAAAATAAGCGGAAGAAAAGCAATAGAATATCTGAACATGTATCCAAAACAACTGTTTGAGCCTCAACTACCCAGAACTGGAGTCACAGTACCACAGACGATCTAAGATTTACTACATACAAGTCTAAAAATAAACGATACACTGTTTCTGGAATTAAGGAAATGAAACAGGAAATAAGGGATAGAGGGAGACGCCAGGGCCTACGGACGCCTGCAGGTCTACCTTGGATCTCTGCGTGGACTGAAGGTAGCCACCCAATCTACGGTCGAAAATCAACAGCACTGGGATCTGTACAAAGGAGTGCAGAGTGTAGCATCAGCACAACCGACCCCATGTGCTAGTAAGTGCCTAGCCTAACCTCGGCGAAGTAGTGACGAGGTTAGGACCAGACCACCAAATAACTTGTACAGTTAAATCATATACAACGGAAATAGAAACAGATAATTACAACTAAAGTTGGGCGGGGAAAACATGCTACGGAGAGTAACAGATAACAACAGAACGACTGTAGAGAAACATAAGAAATACTCTAAATCAATTACCAGCAGAATAAGGAAATACAAGAACTGACACATAAGTGATACCGTTGTGCAACCCGATCCCATTACATATGATACCGTTGCAGGCGTGCAACCCGCTCCCATTTCATATATTACCGTTGCAGGCGTGCAATCCGCTCCCATTTCACATATCACCGTTGCAGGCGTGCAACCTGCTACCATTTCACATTTTACCGTTGCAGGCGTGCAACCCGCTCCCATTTCACATATTAACGTTGCAGGCGTGCAACCCGCTCCCATTTCACATATCACTGTTGTAGGCGTGCAAGCCGCTGCCATTTCACATTTTACCGTTGCAGGCGTGCAACCCGTTCCCATTTCTTTTATCAACACCAATCAAAGAATCCCGGCAAGGGAACAATAATAATAGCACAAACATCCCGGCAAGGGAACAATAATGATAATAACATCCCGGCAAGGAAACTATAATGATAATAACATCCCGGCAAGGGAACAAAAATGATAATAATATCCCGGCAAGGGAAAAATAATAAAATTCTCATATGAAGCGCAATAAACCACAATGGAGGCATAATGATTACAATTCAAGACTCACGGGCATGCTTGACACCGACATATAGATACTCGTCACCATTCCTATACGTCGTACTCCACAATTAACACGTAACAAATAAGACTCGACTCTTAATCCCTCAAGCTAAGGTTAGACCAAACACTTACCTCGATGTCACGAACACAATTCACGTCTCAACTATCGCTTTACCCCTTGATTTCACCACCAATTCGCTCGTATCTAGTCACAAGTTACTTAATTACATCAATAAACGCTAAATGAAACAATTCCAATGCATGAAAATAAATTTTCCAAAGTTTTAGCCAAAAAGTCAAAAATCGCCCCCAGGTCCATATGGTCAAAACCCGAGGTTCGAACCAAAACCCGATTACCCATTCCCCACGAACCCAAATGTATAATTTGTTTTGAAATCGAACCTCAAATCGAGGTCCAAATCCTCAATTTTTGAAAAAACCTAGGTTCTACCCTAAACACCCAATTTTCCCATGAAAATCATTGATTTTGAGTTGAAATCATGTTAAAAGATGTTAATGATTGAAGAAAACGAGTTAAAGTTGACTTACAATCGATTTGAAAGAAGAGTTGTTCTTGAAAAATCACCCTAGGGAGTTTATGTTTTGAAGAGGTGTGAAAAATGGTTGATTTTCGGCTAAGTACAAAAATTTACAGGTTGCAGATGTGGGAATTGCGAACAGGGTTCGCAATTGCGAACCCAGGCTTCTGCTATGTTGGGAATTGCGAACAAATTCTCGCATTTGCAAGTTGGGAATTGCGAACACTGTGTCGCATTTGCGACAACTAGCTAAGAGGGGGAAGCATCGCATTTGCGATAGAATCCTCGCAATTGCGAGATAGACTGGCCTGGGCTACTTTCGCAATTGCGACATAGCCCTCGCATTTGCGAGCCAGGCTTCGCAAATGCGAAGCCTGCAGGCCTGCACAGAAAATAGTTGAAGCCTGCAATTCCTTAAGTCCAAAAAATCCACCCCGTGGCCTATCCAAAACTCACCCGAGCCCTCGGGGCTCCAAACCAAACATGCACACCAACCTAATAATATCATACGGACTCGCTCGTGCATTCAAATCACTAAAATAACATCAACAACTATGAATTTAGCATCAAAATCATGAAATTTCTCAAGAACTTCAAATTTTCCATTTTTTCTCAAATACGATCTGATTCATGTCGTTTCAAGTCTGTTTCTTACCAAATTTCACAGACTTATCTTAATCACATATAAGACTTGTACCGGGCTCCGGAACCAAAATACGGGCCCGATACCATCAAGTTCCAATCACAATTCATTTCCAAATCTCATAAATAATTTCAGAAAATAATTTTCTTTAAAAATTTATTTCTCGGGCTTGGGACCTTGGAATTCGATTCCAGGCATACGCCCAAGTCCCATATTTTCCTACGGACCCTCCGGTATCTTCAAATCACGGGTCCGGGTCCATTTATCCAATATGTTGACCGAAGTCAACTTAATACATTTTATAGTCAAAATTTATCATTTTTCACAGATTTTCACGTATTGGCTTTCCGGCTACGCGCCCGAACTACGCATGCAAATCGAGGTGAGACAGAAAGAGGTTTTTAAGGCCTCAAAATGCAGAATTTACTTTTAAAACAAGTGATGACCCAAAAGGTCGTCACATTCTCCACCTCTAAAACAACCGTTCGTCCTCGAACGGACATAAGAAGGAAATACCTGAGCCTGGGAAAAGATGGGGATGACGGCTCCGCATATCGGACTCGAACTCCCAGGTCGATGCCTCAGCAAGCTGACCTCTCCACTGAACACGAACAGAAGGAAAACTCTTCGATCTCAACTGACGAACCTGCCGATCTAGAATACCTACCGGCTCCTCCTCATTGGACAAGTCCTTGTCCAACTGGACAGTGCTGAAATCTAACACGTGGGATGGATCGCCGTGATACTTTCGAAGCATGGTGACATGAAACACTGGATGCACGGCTGATAAGCTCGGCGAAAACGAAAGTCTGTAAGCCAACTCTCCCACTTGATCACGAATCTCAAACGGGCCAACGAACCTAGGGCTAAGCTTGCCCTTCTTCCCAAATCTCATCACGGCTTTCATAGGCGACACTCAAAGCAATACCCGCTCACCGATCATGAAAGCCAAATCTCGAACCTTGCGGTCGGCATAGCTCTTTTGCCTGGACTGAGCTGCACGAAGCCTATCCTGAATGATCCTGACCTTGTCCAAGGCATCCTATACTAGATCCGTACCCAACAACCGAGCCTTTTCCGGCTCAAACCATCCAACCGGCGACCGACACCGCCTACCATACAAAGCCTTATAAGGAGCCATATGGATACTCGACTGGTAGCTGTTGTTGTAGGCAAACTCTGCTAAAGGCAAAAATTGATCCCACGAGCCTCTAAAGTCAATGACACAAGCTCGGAGCATATCCTCCGAAATCTGAATAGTCCGCTCGGACTGCCCGTCCGTCTGAGGATGAAACGATGTGCTCAACTCAACCCGCGTGCCCAACTCTTGCTGAATTGCTCTCCAAAAATGTGAGGTAAACTGCGTACCTTGATCCGAAATGATAGACACGGGCACACCATGAAGGCGAACAATCTCCCGGATATAGATCTTAGCTAACCTCTCAGAAGAATAGGAGAATGCAATAGGGATGAAATGTGCTTACTTGGTCAGCCTATCAATAATAACCCACACTGCATCGAACTTCCTCTGCGTCCGTGGGAGTCCAACAACGAAGTCCATAGTGATATGCTCCCACTTTCACTCAGGAATCTCAATATTCTGAAATGAACCACCGGGCCTCTGATGCTCGTACTTAACCTGCTGACAATTCAAACACCGAGCCACATATGCAACGATATCCTTCTTCATTCTTCTCCACCAATAATGCTGCCGCAAATCCTGATAGATCTTAGCGACGCTCGGATAAATAGAGTACCGGGAGCTATGGGCCTCATCTAAAATCAACTCTCGAAGTCCATCCACATTAGGCACACAAACTCGACCCTGAAATCGTAAAACTCCATCATATCCTAAGGTGACCTGCTTGGCACCTTCGTGCTGCACCGTGTCTCTGGGGACACACAAATGAGGATCATCATACTACCGATCTCGGATACGCTCCAATAATGAAGAACGAGCGACGGTGCAAGCTAACACACGACTGGGCTCAGAAACATCCAGTCTCACGAACTGATTGGCTAAAGCTTGAACATCCAAAGCAAGCGGTCTCTCACCGACCGGTATATAAGCAAGACTGCCCATACTGGCTGACTTCCTACTCAAAGCATCGGCCACCATATTGGCCTTCCCCGGATGATATAAGATGGTGATATCATAGTCTTTCAACAACTCCAACCACCTTCTCTGCCTCAAGTTTAGCTCCTTCTGCTTGAACAAATACTGCAAACTCTTGTGATCCGTGAACACCTCACATGCCACGCCATACAGATAATGCCTCCAAATCTTCAACGCGTGAACAATGGCTACTAACTCCAAATCATGAACCGGATAGTTCTTCTCATGAATTTTCAACTGCCGCGAAGCATAGGCAATGACCTTTCCATCCTGCATCAACACTGCCCTAAGTCCAATACGAGATGCATCACAATAACTATATAAGGCCCTGAACCTGTGGGCAAAACCAACACCGGTGCCGTAGTCAGAGCTGTCTTGAGCTTCTGAAAGCTCGCCTCACACTCTTCCGACCATCTGAACTGGGCACCCTTCTGGTTCAACCTGG